AAAAAAAAAAAAAAAAAAAAAAAAGAATTACCATATGATCCAGTAATTCCACTTCTGGCTATATACCCAAAAGAATTCAAAGCAGACACTCAAACAGGTATCTGTACACCCCTGTTTATAGCAGCATTATTCACAACAGGCAAAATGTAGAAGCAACTCAACTAAACAAAACATGGTATATACAATGGAATATTAACCCTTAAAAAGGACTGCGATTCTGACACATGATACAGCATGGATGAAGTGTGTGAAGACATGCTAAGTGAAATACACCAGTCACAGAAGGACACATACTGTATGATCTGATTATATGAGGTATCTAGAGTAGTCAAATTCAGAGACAGGCAGTAAAACAGTGATGGCCAGGGGCTGGGGAAAGGGGGAATGGAGAGTTATTGTTTAATGGGTACAGAGTTTGGGATGATGAAAATGTTCTGGAAATAGATTGCGGTGATGGTTACAGACACAGAGAATGTACTTAATGCCACTAAATTATACATTTAAAATGGTTAAAATAGTAAATTGTATGTGTATTTTCCCACAATTTTAAAACACAGAAAAAAATAACAATCAGGCCATATTTCCAGTCCACCAAGAATCCGGTTTTAAAGGCCTGTTCTCCTGATGATCTGGCACATTCTTCCCATGGCAATGGGCTCCGTGGATGCTATTTTGTCCTTTGCATTGCAACCTCAAATCCAGCCCCAATAACCTGAGCCCTAAATCCAAGCAAACAGCTCAGGTGGACTAGCCATTGTTTGAAAGGCTGAGGCTTGAGCTTCTCTGGGACAGGCAATTTAGGGGGTAACTGTCTGATATGTTCAACAGGCAGCCAACAAAAGCAGAAGCCACTCTAGCCAGCTTTCATTCTCTATTACTTCCCTTTTCACTTTCATACAGGACACCAGACTGCCATGCAGTAAGGAAAACAGGGGTCAGGCTGCCCAGCCTGTTTTAAGTTGGAAAGTGGGAAGTGCCCCCCCATCTCTGACAGGTCTATAAATTTAACATTCTTTGCACTTCATACACTGAAGGACACAGTTTTCACCCATCCAACAACAGAACCAACAACTTCGGCCCTCTGTGGTCTCTAGAGCCCTTTCACACAGATTATCCCATTAGATCTCACAATAACACAGTGAGAATGAATGTGTAGGGACTGTCATTCCCCACTGGAGACATGAATAAACCCAGGCTCAGGGAAATGAAGCAGTGTGTCCCAAGTCCAAGTAAAAAAGCAATTTACAGTTTGCACACAGGTAAGTAATATTCAGAATTCTTCTTCCTCTCCATGACATTGGGAAGATGAACAGAGTAGAAACGGAACTTTGCATTTGGTGTTAAACCAGAGCAAGGAAAAATGCTTCCGAATATGGTAACTAATAGGCTAGTAGGCCCATCCCCAAAAAAAGAACTACACTAAGGCTCTCCTCTTCCCCACCCCCACCCCTGCCTTTTTTCTTTTCTTTTTTTTTTTTTTTTGAGACCAAGTCTCACCCTGTCACCTAGGCTGGAGTGCACTGGAACGATCTTGGCTCACTGTAACGATCTTGGCTCACTGTAGCCTCTGCCTCCTGTTCGAGCCATTCTCCTGCCTCAACCTCTCGAGTAACTGGGATTACAGGTGCCTGCCACCACACCTGGCTAATTTTTGTATCTGGAGTAGGGACAGGGTTTCCCCATGTTGACCAGGCTGGTCTGGAACTCCTGACCTCAAATGATCCACTTGCCTCGGCCTCCCAAAGCGCTGGAATTACAGGTGTGAGCCACCTCGCCCGGCCCTCGTTCCCAATTTCTAAGGCCCTCCCTACTTAAAAATAGACCTTTCTTTAAGTTTTGTTTTGTTTTGTTTTTGAGACGGAGTTGCTCTGTCGCCCAGGCTGGAGTGAAGTGGCGCGATCTCGACTCACTACACCCCTGCCTCCTAGGCTGAAGCGATTCTCCTGCCATAGCCTTCCCAGAAGCTGGGATTACAGGCGTGCACCACCACACCCAGCTAATTTTTGTATTTTTAGTAGAGACGGGGTTTGGCCATGTTGCCCAGGCTGGTCTGGAACTACTAACCTCAAGTGATCCGCCAGCCTCGGCCTCCCAAAGTACTGGGATTACAGGCATGAGCCACTGCGCCCGGCCTCTTTTAGATTTTTGCACGCAACGATTCCTGCTGTGTATCCACTGCTGTCATTTGCTGTCCTGTCCAAGGCGTGCTGCCGGACAGAGGAGTCTGTCAGACTCAGAATCGAACGTGGGGGTTAAAGGCCAACTTGGCCATAAACGGAACAAATCACGCCTAACCCAACAAGCTTCTAAATGTACAAGCGGCCCTGGACACCTACACGAGCAACACTCGGGAAGCAGGAGTCAGTGGACTGCGGGTCGCTGACCACTGCCTTACCCACCACAGCGCATGCGCGACTACCGCACCAGCAACAGAGGAGTACCACGCCCACCAGCCCGACTTCGTGGGCGGACGCCGTCTTCTCGCGCATGCGTAAGCGCCTGCGCAAGCGCGCCTTCGGCAGCTGTCTTTCCCTATTAGGCCCTGCTCTTCTCAAACCCGACCCGGATCCCGAACGCTGGCCGCCTCAACTACGACCTTCACTCCGCATTTCTCACCTTGCGGCCGGTTTTCTCCCGTAGGGCCTTCAGCCGTTCCTTTCGCCGCAGTGCCTCTTCCTCTAGCCGGCCCACACCGGCCACAGTCGGCTCCATCTTGCCTGCGGACGCCCCTCCTTTTCTCCCGTCTTGCAACGCGCAGGCCTAAAGAGAGTGGATAAATGTCTCGCGGCCAATCCAAGGACGAGAATGAAAGAATGAGAGGTCCTGGAAGCCAATCAATGCTGGGTTGCTATGGGCGAGCCCTCCCCGCCCCGCCCTTATCCTTCCGGGCAACTTGCCTAGTGGGTAGGGAGCCAGCAAAAAAAAAAAAAAAAAAGCTAAGGCTCGATTTATCCAACACTGATCAGTGAAAGAGCAGCAGGTGGAATCAGACCTGAGAGAAGGAGAAAAGAGTGCGTCGATCGATTCGG